CCTGGGTATTAAGTCATTTTTCTCTACCACTGTTCAACAGGTGGCTGGTCATTAAGTTATTTTTGTCTACGACCTCATTTTTTTCTCTACCACTGTTCAACAGGTGGCTGGTCATTACGTTATTTTTGTCTACACCGTTCAACCGGTGGCTGGTCATTAAATCATTTTTTTTCTCTACCACTGTTCAACAGTTCACCACCTGGTCATTAGTCATTAAGTCATTTTTTTCTACCACTGTTCAACAGGTGGCTGGTTATTTTTGTCTACGACCGTTCAACCGGTTTTGGTCTTAAGTTTTTCTCTACCACTGTTCAACCGGTGCCTGGTCATTAAGTCATTTTTTCTCTACCACCACCGTTCAACAGGTGGCTGGTCATTAAGTTATTTTGTCTACCACCGTTCAACCGGTGGCTGGTCATTAAAGTCATTTTTTCTCTACCACCATTCAACCCGGTGCCTGTATTAAGTCATTTTTCTCTACCACTGTTCAACAGGTGGCTGGTCATTAAGTTATTTTTCTCTACCACCGTTCAACCGGTGGCTGGTCATTAAGTCATTTTTCTCTACCACCGTTCAACCGGTGCCTGGGTAGTTATTTTCTCTACCACTGTTCAACAGGTGGCTGGTCATTAAGTCATTTTCTCTACCTCCGTTCAACCGGTGGCTGGTCATTTTTTCTCTACCACTGTTCAACCGGTTCCTGGGTATTAAGTCATTTTCTCTACCACTGTTCAACCGGTGGCTGGGCATTAAGTCATTTTCTCTACCACAACCGTTCAACCGTTCAACATTTTCTCTACCACTGGTTCCTGGGGACATTAAGTCATTTTTCTCTTTTCTCTACCACTGTTCAACAGGTGGCTGGTCATTAAGTTATTTTTGTCTACGACCGTTCAACCGGTGGCTGGTCATTAAGTCATTTTTCTCTACCACCGTTCAACCGGTGCCTGGGTATTAAGTCATTTTTCTCTACCACTGTTCAACAGGTGGCTGGTCATTAAGTTATTTTTGTCTACGACCGTTCAACCGGTGGCTGGTCATTAAGTTCATTTTCTATACCACCGTTCAACCGGTGCCTGGGTATTAAGTCATTTTTTCTACCACTGTTCAACAGGTGGCTGGTCATTAAGTTATTTTTGTCTACGACCGTTCAACCGGTGGCTGGTCATTAAGTCATTTTCTCTCCACCGTTCAACCGGTGCCTGGGTATTAAGTCATTTTTTCTCTACCACTGTTCAACAGGTGGCTGGTCATTAAGTTATTTTTGTCTACGACCGTTCAACCGGTGGCTGGTCATTAAGTCATTTTTCTCTACCACCGTTCAACCGGTGCCTGGGTATTAAGTCATTTTTCTCTACCACTGTTCAACAGGTGGCTGGTCATTAAGTTATTTTTGTCTACGACCGTTCAACCGGTGGCTGGTCATTAAGTCATTTTTCTCTACCACCGTTCAACCGGTGCCTGGGTATTAAGTCATTTTTCTCTACCACTGTTCAACAGGTGGCTGGTCATTAAGTTATTTTTGTCTACGACCGTTCAACTGGTGGCTAGTCATTAAGTCATTTTTCTATACCACCGTTCAACCGGTGGATGGCATTAAGTCATTTTTCTCTACCACGGATAAAGTGGTGGCCACGGCTCAAAGAGTTAAATCAATAAACGTTGCTGAGGAGTGAATGTAGTGAAAATAATAGCGGTGACAAGGGAAAAACAGTCCTTTTGATACGCCGTTTTGTTTTCCGACACAATAGTTAAAGTTTGCCAGAAATTCTGTGGGTGTCCGTTTCTAAGTTAATAACAACAGAAAGCTGATTTTTCACTTAATGTACAGTAGTAAGTTATATTAATATTTAACGTCAATATATCTTGAAATGCTTTCTGGCGTCAATTGTTAATAACGATTTCATTGTGAAAACATTAACTGGCAAAACAAAATCTAATATCGTGTAGGTCGACAGAAATAGATAATTACGTAGAAAGTAAGAAGTGGATATAGATAGAGACATATAGATTAAGGAGAGGGATACAAAAGAAAAGAAAGGGAATACGTAACTAGTGGGGGGGGATTTAAGGGAAAAACATTGTAGGTCGAAAGAAAGCAAATGAAATAAAAAGTAAAAGAGAGAGAAAAGCTGAAAAAGGATGTGTGCGTCTGTCTGTGTGTGTGTATGAGAGAGAGAAAGAGAGATTGAGAGAGAGATTGAGAGAGAGAGATTGGGAGAGAGAGAGATTGGGAGAGAGAGAAAGTCGGCGAAAGAATAATGGTGGCAAGCAAATTGAATTTCGCGCTGTTTTCTTCCGGCGGCAAGGTCGAATGTAATTCAGTGTGCGCGGTAAAACAGAGCCAACACACCGATCTCAGATTAATGGGCAAGTCATATGACCCTTACTTTCACTTTCACTTTCACTTTCAGTCTCGATCAAGATCACTGAGTTGCCTTTGCAACACGTAATGTTCCTAGAACTCATTCATTTATCCGTTTTTCTTTAACCACTTTTATTTTTCCATTCTTGAGTTTTAATCTTTTTTTTTTTTTTAACAAGGGATTGTCTGCCTTTTGGCCCATTGTATATTGTAGCTTTTTCTTTTTCAGGTCAGTTTTTACTTTTGTTCACATCATTTCTTTATTCTAGTCATATTTTCCTTTCTTTTCGTAATTTTGTCATTATATAGTTTATTTAATGTTCTCCTTTTGATCTTTTTATCTGATAACAGATACGTTTTCTTTCTTTCTACCTTTTCTTCTGTCTTTCTTTTTACATTTCTTGCTTTCTCTTTCTCTTTTAAATGCTTATTTCTCTTTCTTTCTTTTTTATTTCTTTCTTTTTTTTCTTTCATTCTTCTAAGTTACATTTTCTACAACCTCTTTATCTTCCAAACGTATATTTATATTTTTCTTTCTTTCTTTCTTTCTTTCTTTCTTTCTTTCTTTCTTTTTTTCAAATGCATATTTATTGTTCTTTCTTTCTTTCTTTCTTTCTTTCTTTCTTTCAAATGCATATTTATTGTTCTTTCTTTCTTTCTTTCAAATGCATATTTATTGTTCTTTTCTTTCTTTCTTTCAAATCATTTTTTCTTTTTTTTTCAAATGCATTTTTTTTCTTTCTTTCCTTTTCTTTCAAATGCATATTTATTGTTCTTTCTTTCTTTCTTTCTTTCAAATGCATATTTATTGTTCTTTCTTTCTTTCTTTCAAATGCATATTTATTGTTCTTTCTTTCTTTCTTTCTTTCTTTCTTTCTTTCTTTCAAATGCATATTTATTGTTCTTTCTTTCTTTCTTTCTTTCTTTCTTTCAAATGCATATTTATTGTTCTTTCTTTCTTTCTTTCTTTCTTTCTTTCTTTCTTTCTTTCTTTCTTTATTTCTTTCTTTTTGAAATTTTCCTTTCCTTCCCTAAACGCCCTTCCTTACTTTTTTCTTTTTTACCTACATAAACGCTCTTTCTTTTTTTTATCACCTACATAAACGTCCTTCCTTCCTTCCTTCCTTCCTTCCTTCCTTCCTTCCTTCCTTCACGCCTCTTCTTTTTCTTCTTTCTTTGTTTCTTTGTTTGTTTGTTTCTTTCTTTCTTTAAACTCCTCTTTGTTCCTTTATTTCTTTCTCTTTCTTTATTTCCTTCCCACACTTCTTTCTTTTCTTTGCATTTCTTTCTTTTTTTCCCCTTTTATTCACTTCTTTTCTTCTCCTTTTCTTTCTTTCTATTTTAAAATCTTTTCTCTTTCATCTCAATCCCTTATTCTCCCCTAACTCAGCCATATTGCACTACTTCGTCCGCCCCCCACGCCCCACCACAATAGAATCTACACCTTACCTCGTATTATTTCTCAATGCCCTCCCCCTCCACACCAAACTTTATCCCAACACAAAACGTCGCCACGATCTTCCCAATCCGATTCTTCTGCACCTTCTTAAGCATCCCCCCACCGTTCAGTGCGCCACCACATTCACTTTCAAAACGCCCACAAAAGGCCCCACCCAGTCATTGCGATCCAGCGACACTTCGATCTATCGAACGGAATTAATCGCTGTTAGGGAAGGCTTTTGTGATCGACGTCTCTGTGCAAATGGCGCGCTATACACTGTGGGACAAGAGAGTTTATATTGAAAGAAGCGACGGATGGTGGTGGTGTTGGTGGTGGTTGTGAAAAACTCATGTAGGGTGAAAAGGAGAGCGGGTTTGATGGACTGTTAAGCTGTGTCGCTTGGTTGGACAGTACATTTGGGCATGCGCACAAGGAAATTTTGAGCGTGGACGTCATTAGGTGAAACCGAAACGGTGGCAGGGCACGTGTCACGGCTCAACTGGTAAAGTAGATGTCTATCCGCATTATTTATAGCAGGTTGCAGGGGTTCGAGTTTGGATAGGAGTTCACAGGCCTACACAATGACAACGGGTGGCGTATTTGGTGGTTGGGATCATTTTAACAATCAGCATTATCATTACATCGCAAAGATTTAAATTTAAAATTTGCAGCATCTATCTATCTATCTGTTCCTATCTATCTATCTATCTATCAATCTATCTATCAGTCATTTATCAGTTCCATTCATTCTATCTATCTATCTATCCTTCTATCTCTTATCTCAGCTATATCTCTATCTCTCATGTTCTATCTATCTATCTATCTATCTATCTATCTATCTATCTTATTTCTGTTCATATCTCTCTTTTTCACTGTTCATATCTATTTTAGTCATTCATCTATCTATCTATCTATCTATCTATCTATCTATCTATCTATCTATCTATCTATCTATCTATCTATCTATCTCAGTCTGTTAATCTATCTATCTATCTATCTATCTATCTATCTATCTATTATGCTATCTCATCTATCTAATCTCTATTATCATCTATCTATCTATCTATCTATCGAAGGACGAAAGAGAATTGAGGAAAAAGTCATTAAAGAGAAAGGGCGTCATCTTTCACACACACACAAAAGCGCAAAAAGACGAACAATATATAGATAA